CAAGTGGGCTTCCCTCATCATCCTATCCTGACCACTCTTGCATTTCCTCACAGATATATTACACTCTGGAATAAGAAGTATCACTGAAGCTTTTGCTTGATGTCAGACGGGTCTTGAGGGCAGGCCCCTGGCTGCTGGCCGAATTGAACAGAAGTCACTGCTCCATTTGTAGTATATGTGCTGCCAAAGTGAATACTCATTGCTATTATTTGTGAGGGTTATATGACAAGAAGACATGTTCCTGCATCTGCGACCTGCACACACCTTTCTAAAGCTCCTCTTAATCTAGGTACAGGTTCTTCACAAGCATAATTAAATGTTCTGGAATTCTTTGCAATGTTATCCATAATTTGTTATGATTCACATAGTCAAATGCCTTTGCATAGTCCTATGATATCAGTGGGAGCTCTGGTAGCGTAGTGCCTAAGGCACTTGACTGCTAACCTGAAGGCTGGTGGTTCAAACCCACCAGCCACTCCTCGGAAGGAAGGTTGGGCAATCTACTTCCATACTGCCTCAGAAACCCAAGGAGGGGTCGCTGTGAGTCAGGTGCGACTTGACGGCACATAACAACAACATGACACCTGTGCCTCAGCCCCGCGGCCCCTCAGTTTGGCCACTGCCCAGCTTGGTCAAGCGTTACAAAGCTCTTTCAGCTCTGCCGATAAATGCCCAGGGCCACCCCACTGCGCCAGCCCAAACATGCTCAGCTTCCTCATTCTATGGGTCCGCAAGCCTAATGTGCTGTCTCCTGCTGGTCTCCTGGTTCTGATGCCGTCGACAGCTCGCTCTGGCTTCTCCCACCCAGCTGGCTGTATGGTGAAAGGATCCAACCCTGACACACACCTTTCCTTATCTTCAACTATGCAGTATCCCCTCATTCTGTATATAATGAATATGCTTCAAATGAAAGGATTTGCTATATGATTCAAAACACTGAACATTTATGTGTAAATATATGCATGAACCCTGTATCTTGTCATTTTGATTTAAAACCACCCACTCATGGTATCTCTGTTACAGTTGTTGTTGTTGTTGTTATGTGCCGTCGAGTCGGATCCGACTCATAGCGACCCCTCCTTGGGTTTCCGAGGCAGTATCACTACGGAAGTAGGATTGCCCAACCTTCCTTCCGAGGAGTG